ACCCGCCGTGTGCCAATGTTTCCGTTTTGACGGTGCCACACATCCTCTTCTACAGCATGTGCTAAACCCCGAGCCGCCGTTTTCGTCGTGTTCAGTAGTCATTGTTTTCTCTCACTCTCACACACACCACCCATTCTTCCAACCACCAACTTTACCTTTTACCTTCTTACCTTTTCCATACCACCAAACCTCTACCTTCCTCGACACTTGACGACGACGCTCCTCAATCAACACGCTCACCCGCCCCGCCGCATACGAGAGTAATCGCGCCTTCCCCCGCCCATCGACCCCGTTCCTGTCGCGAGCCTAGTCACCTGTCCCGCGGCGGCGCCTTTCCGAGTACGAGGAGGAAGAGAGAATAGAAACACTTCGGTCCTTCCGAGACTGGACCACCAACGCTTACAATCAACCACCACCCCGCGGAGGAAGAGAAGAACAAGAGCAGTCAAGGGATCCAGCAGCGCTGTCCTCCGATCTAGCCCACGACTTTTAACCAAAACCGCGATTACGCTCCTTCACCACACAAACGTAACCATTTCTTTACTTATTTCGCCAACGGTGCCCCTCTCGGGTCTCTCAGTCTCCTCACCCGAGACTGCCGCCACCACGTTTTCGCGCAAGAGGAGAGAAAGAGAGAAGGGATTCGGGCAACCAATTCCCAAGGTGCACAAAACCATGCCGTCAGCAGCGGCGAGAAGGATCTACGAGGATCAAATCCCCTCCTTCATGTCAGTCTTCGACCTCGACGCAGAGACAATCGCTGCCCAGGAAACCGTAACCCTCGTCGACCCAAAGTTGATCGAGATGGAAGCCGCCGGCAAGCCACTGGCCCAGCCGGGTGTTCAACACCTCCGACCGACAATACCCTCAGATCCTACGCACAAGCACCACGACAGTACTTCCACCCAGGCATCCGAGTCGGCAGAGTCATCACCCACAACCACCCTGTCAACAAGTGATTCTTCTCCACTGTCCGACCCTTCGCCTTCATCTTCCCCCGACTCACCCGTCAATCTGATTCCTCTGTCATCCTTCCCGGCCACCTCTTTTGGCGCTCTGCCCCCAATTTCTTCGATGAACACTCTCTCAGCGGCGGAGACTTCGAGCTTCGGCCGACCGATGACGTCTCCTTCGCCGCGCCGCCCAAAGAACATGAAGGGTCTGTCCATTCAGCCGCCCTTCATGGGCAACACTGCCACGACGCTCGTATCTGAGCCCGCATCGCCCTCATTCATCAAGCCCACCATCCCGGGCATGAAGCGCAAGCCTAGTCAATTGAGCCTCAACACGAAGACGTCGGATCTTGTCATGAGGAACACGCTCGAGGTTCCCGGCACACCTGGAATGGCACCTATCATGCAACGGCGCGCGCTGAAGCACTCGACTTCTTCCCCCCACATGCTGCCTTCGTTGAAGTCGGCAACATTCGGCCCTCCCGGCGGAATGGGATTCCCCAAGGTTCTGGAGCGCAATGAGTCCGGTCTGTCAGAGCTGTTGAGGCCTACCAAGACGGGCGTTGGCTCCTCCTTTGACACGACGATTGTCGAGGAAGATTCGCCCATCAAGACGCAGATGGCCAGCCGCGCAGCCCTCGACTTCGAGCCGTACCACGAGAACGAGAATAACGAAGATCAGAAGACTCCCGGATACCCTGATGGCCCGATTGCCATCTATGAGGACAACGTTTATCTCTACTTGGAGCCGACGGCGGATGAGGCGTCCAAGTTTGACACGGTTATTAACGTAGCGCGGGAAGTGAGGAACCCATTCTCAGTGCTGCCCAAGGCAGATGTTGAGATGACAGACTCGCCCGCCGTCCTCAGCCCTATCCCCGACAGTGCCGTGTCAAACGCCAGCTTCTCGACGGCGTTCGAGTTTGCTACCGACGGCAGAGTTGAGACCCCGACAACGCCCAAGGCCATGTCCTTCTCCGTGAAGCGCCCGGAGTACATCCACATGCCCTGGGACCACAACACGGATATCGCGCAGGATCTGATGCAACTCTGCGAGACGATTGAATCACGCACGAAGGAGGGCAAGAGGGTCCTTGTTCACTGCCAACAAGGTGCCAGCCGATCCGCCAGTCTGATCATCGCTTACGGTCTCTACCGCAATCCTGACCTCAGTGTCAACGACGCTTACTACGCTGCTCAGGGCAAGAGCAAATGGATTAGCCCCAACATGAAACTCATGTACTGCTTGCAGGACTTTCAAAAGCAAGTATCAAAGAAGAAGGCACCCCTTGGCTCAGCCTTCCGCCCCCGAACCGGTCGCAGCCCCACGAAGCACCGTCTGACGCTGTCGGCGGACGCTGCCATCGATACCGCCCCGAAGGAGCCTTTGACGGCTCCCCTACCAGGAGAAAATGAAGGCAGCTCAGGGAGTTTGAGTCCGAAGAAGGGCAGCCCGACCCGTGCACGAGGTCATTCAACACCTGGCAGCCAGCCAATCTCACCGGGACCCTCATCAGCGCCTTCGAGCTTCTCATGCTCAGAAAGCGAGTCCGCAACCAACTCCGCCAAATTTGGAAGATTTGATGTGGACAGATTGCTTCCGACACTCAAACCGCCACCATCCGATACTGGTTTTGCGTCGTCTTCATCATTCTTTGCCAAGCCGCCGCCATCACCTGGCCCACCCCCATCGCCTGGATTTGGTGCACACCGATTTGGACCCTCGGCAGGCTTCGGCTTCTCCAGCTTAAATCTTGGACCGTCACCCGAGCACGAACCGGAAGGAAAATCGCACAAGGAACGACACGTCGCGGTCGCGCTACCCGAAGACGCGGCGCTCATGTCACCGAGAGCCGAGACGATGACGAACAACCCGCTGCACGACGCCTACAACGAATTCGCGGGTATGCGATTTGTCGAGGTGCCGCCAACACCGAGTGAAGGTCTGTTCTCGCCTCGAGAAACAATGTTCCCCAGGGATCCCTTCTTCCCCTTCGGACGTCCCACCCAAGTGGCCGACCCGCGAAGTCCGCCTACAAAAGGTGAAACGCCAATTGTGAGGTCTATTGACGAGCTGCTATGACCGTGGCCAGGGCGGGACACACCGCCACTAGCGACTAGCACCAAGCCCTCGGGACCGGACTAATTCGGCGATACTCGGCCGGACTATGGCTATTTGTTGCTATTTCTGCAACACCAACTGGTGGCCATGCGACAGTCGGGAAGTTGCCGGTCGCCCCCATAACAATTATACGAGGTTCGCGCACAATCACACGCGACCATCGAAACATACGCACGCCGATCGAGTAAATCATTTTTCTCTCATTGCGCTGAGCGTCTCTACGGCATTTACAGGCGTTGAATCGTTCTGGGAAAAATCGAAAAGGATCATTTGGTGGATACCAATAACTGGGAATCACGCTCACGAGCACCACCGACGACACCTTCGAATACCGAAAAGCCCCAGAATCCTAGCGATCATTCAGCCGGCATTTCATTTGTCCCTTTTATTCGAGCCGTCTTTTCAGAGCGCAGCGAGTGGCGAAATGGTGGTCGGTTTCGTCACAAGCAAAAACGTACTTTACTACCATAAACCGAAATGTGTAATCTAGAATCGAAACCCCCGGGTGCGATATTGGAACGAAAACATGGGATGAGATAGATCCTCTCTCCCCATTTGGACACGGAAAGGGTCAAGGAAAGGGGGTTCGGCCATCATTTTTTCTTTTTGTTCTCGCAGTCGCTTCGCACAACACACGCTTCGCTTTAGGAGTTTGGGAGGGCACAACAGGTATCTCACGAAGGCCACGTCCTTGCTTCCCTACGGGGTGGATAACTGGCTTGGAGAGGAACATTGGACGTCGAGAAACAAACTCACTTCAAAAAGAAGGGGACGTCCATTTTCCAAGTTTTGTTTGGTCTTATTCAGGTTTCCTTTATTTTACTTTTTTCCTTCATCGCGGGTCCATCCACGGATGAAGACCATACCATACGCATTTGGAGTCAACGGGGAGGGATGAGATGATAGGATACCCGGCATGACTGCATGGCTCGGGGGAGAGGTAGATGACTTGAAAAACAAAATGAGAAGCCGCACTTTTGTGTGTCAATTAAACGTTCTGTCCCATACCATGTGATGTGATGAAAGTGCCATGTATGTAATGTGATGAGAAGCTTGCAGATGGACGGTCTGGGATGGAATCTCATCTGGTGCCGTCCATCATCTCGTCGAATCTCTTGGATGCTAAAGCCATCGCTGGCTGTTTTCATCCCCAAGACTGCCGGTATCCATCCAATGACAGCGTTTCTCCCACCCGCGGTACTGACTTGAGATGATCTCCATGGTGAAGCTGCGGTAGACGGTGCGGTATCATCCACTGCCGTCCTTGAGTACGACTTCTATGAGACGGAGAGACTTTGAAGGCGTGGGCCATGGGATACCAGACTTGACGGGCACCATCAGCCCCTTGGCCGAGGCGCAGTTGAGTCTGGAGGATGTGTCATCGTTGCCCTCGTCGCGACCCGATTCGTCTGCGATGGAGTATTGTTGTCAGTGGCTCAGAGTCTATGTCTAACGTCTCGAAGGTGCAGTAAAGAATATGAAGGATTGCATAGTCCAAACCAGCTCTCACACATCGCTCTCAGCAGACGCGGAAAGTACCCAACGACCAAGAGTTGTATCACAGGGCAAATCATAAACGACCTCTAGTCACCCAAAAAAACCCAAAAAAAAAAACCAGTTTTGAGCTATGAGTTTGTATTCGAGTCCGGTCTGCGGGCTGCCCTGTCTAGGAAAAAAGCCCCCTTTACACTGAACGCCAGAGACTCTGTTGGTCTTTGTATGTGTATATATAAGAACGACACTTGAAATAGCGCCGTGTGACAAACGGAAAACAAAATTTGGATATCTTATAAGGGGGTTGGTGGTGATGTAGAAGGATGCCAGAACAAGTCAATAGAACCGGCATTTTCGGCCTTCGCATTTGGTAGCTGCTGCAAGCAACTCTACCGCTTGAAGCGAGGGATTCGAAGAGAAGGGGGGGACAATTATTGCGTCTTGCCAGCCGCAGCAGCCCTTTTGGCAGCCTCCTGTGCCTTCTTCTCCTTGGTCGCGATCTGTGCCTCAGCACCGATGGCACCGAAGACGAGCGAGACGCCGAGCCACTGCTGGCTGGAGAGGCTGTGGCCGAAGGCGAAGACAGAGAGCGCCATAGTGACCATCTTGCGTGTAACGGTGACGGTGACCAGAAGCACTGAGGAGAAAGTTGAGAGGGTGTAGACTGTTTTATTGCGTCTTGCGTTAGCCTCTGGACTCGACAAGTTTTCAAAGGGAAAAGAAGAGGAAGACGGCAACTCACAGATGAAAACCTGCCCGACGGCACCGCACGCGGCAAACCCGAGCACATCCCACCAGACCGCAGGGTATCTCGCCATGAAGCCCAACGCAGCCTTCAACTCCCCCGCATTCCCGGCGACGTCCATGCCGAGATACTCGCCGAGGCCGGTGTGAACGAGCCACGGGCTCAGCAGCAGATAGCCCAGCGTGACGGCCGTGCTCATAAGGTTGTTGGCGCACATCATCTGCGGGCCGGTGTAGCCCTTGAACGTGCTGAAGATGTAATCCTGCGTGCTGTTCGTCAGGCCGTCGAAGAGCAGGTTGATGCTCAGCAGAAGCATGCCCCACGGCATGTTCGCGTCCGGGTTGACGACCGACTTCTTCTTCTTGCTGCCAGAGTGCAGGGTGAACACGGCCACGCCAGCTGTCACGCCCGCGACGACGAGGTACTTGTACAGAGGGTAGCTCTTGCCAAAGAGCGTGGTGTGCAGCAGCATCACCGGGACCAGCTTGCAGGACTTGGCGAGCAGGAAGGTGATGTAGTCAATGTGGCTCAAGCTGGCGTATCCGAAGGGGGACGCGAGGGAGGAGGTGACGGCGACGAGGGCGAGGGGCCAGACGATCTTCTGCGAGGGGAAGACGGGCGGGAGCGAGGGCTTGTTGCGGGAGCTATAGGCGAGGTAAAGCAGGCCTGTCGTCGCGGCGAAGAGGGACTGGATCGTGTTGAGGAAAACGGGATACTTGAAGACTTCGGGCTTGGACGCGGGGCCGTAGGGAGTCGTCGTGAGCTTCTCTTGGAGGTATGCCCATGTCAGGCTGCAGTCATCAGTCAGCAATTTCTCGATACCACATGTAGTCCCTCAAGCGACGGCGAAACACGTACAATGAGGCGTAGATACCGCCAACGGCGATCAGAATCTGCAATGCGCCGGCCTCCTTGGCCTCGACCGGGACGGCTGCGACAGCAGTCGCCTTGCCGTTGGGTTGCGTCGCCTCGCCGTCGCTAGGCGTGCGCGCGAGGTCGACTTTGGAAAAGTACTCGGACGAGGTTTGCCGCCTCACGGGCGTGGCCTGCTTCGAGCGCGCCATTGCGATTGTCGTGACGCGAATTATGTCAATCGAGAGCGGTTTCGTGTGTCCCGGTCGCACGATATAGGGACAGTCAAGTGAACGACTCGAGTCAAAAGAGAGAACAACCGAAAAGTGAGGAAGAGAAAAGAAGCAAACAAGCGGGTGACGTTCAAGCCAGAAAGAAAGTTGAAGAAGAGGGGAAATGAAAGACAAGAGCCGATATTGTTGTCGAAGTTGATGAGCCTAGGCTGATGACAGGTTGGCTTCATCCCAAAATAAAAAATAAGGTGGAGAGCTTACCTTTACCCGTCAGACCCCCCTGAACTCACCCCTTCCAAGCCTCTTCAGGGTCCCCTCCACTGTCCGTTGGCGAACTGCCCCTAACCTTATCAGGAATCAGCCCAGCGGTGCCTCCTCTCCGGATCGGCATCGCCAACAGGTACCCAGAACCCCGCGCGGCATTGGCCAATCACAGCAGGAGCGCATCTTGATCCTGGACCTGCCATGCTTGCGCCGCGCGCCAAATGGGAGCTTCACCTCCGCATCTTGTGGATTGCGGAATGCTGTCCCAGGCGTAGTGATGAAGATGGATAAGCGCAGTACGATAACAGCAGACTCAAAGGGGGGCGACGGTGAAATAAAGTTGAAGGGCCGCAGCAAATGATCCGACGTTTGTCAGTGCACTCAAACATCACGTAAGGGACAGGAAATATTTAGAGCGGCCTTGCAAAAGGGTATTTTTGTCTGCCTAGTCATGGAATGGTATCACTATGAAGAATCCTCCCGGTGTCGGAAATAAAGCCAATACCAGAAGCGTCCAAGAGCCATTCCATAACCCAAGACCTGCAAACGATACTAAGGCCACTGACTTGTGTATTCGGTCCAGTCGTTGTCGGTGAAGAGAGGGTAAGGGGGATGAGGGGTTGCGAGTTCATTGATCTGAGTGTCGGTGGCCGATAATCATTATTAATGTATCTTCGAAGCCATGGCTTCGAACAGGTATCCCGCGTCGTGAATCATGAATAGCTCGTCATCTTCTTGGATGACACGCCACCTGCCGTATGTTCGTGAAGGTCGTATAAACATCCCGATCCTTAGACCCTGGGATATCTTTGCCTGCCCAAACGTTGACCGGAAAACCTTTCCTCCAAAATGAGCAAGTGTGTCGCCTTGGAGAAAAGCGAAAGCCGGGACCACAACCTGCTGGTACCCACGTGATGCTTTCAGCATGCCTGAGCTTTTCGCCGTCCCAAAAAAAGCTTCAAAATTGAGAAATAGGAAAGTGAACAGAATAGAGAAGGGCGCGTTTTTCGAGTCCCGGACCCACTGACAGTTAGAGGGTCAGCTGTCCTGGTTTCAAGCCTTGCGGCCAAAGTCTGCAAGTTCAAGAGCTGGAAATCGGAACACAGAACCATCTACTCCGAGGCAGGAGCCTGGGAGCGGCGCATCTTCTCGGCCTCCAGGTTCTCGTACAGCAGGAAAAGGGCAGACTCGTTGGCCTTAGCAGTGCCCATGATGGTGAACATGCGCTCGCCAGTCTCGTCATGGGGGGCCTGGGATGATTAGTTAGCACAATTTCAACAAACAGCACGAGCAGATAATTACCTTAGCAATGGAGATGCGGGCGCCGGAGGTCTTGCGGATTTCGCTAATCTTGGAACCAGCCCGTCCGATGATGCAACCGACCATGTCAGCGGGAATGGAGATGTTCTGAGTTTGGATCTCCTCTCCGTTCTCATCATGAGTGGGGGGTCCACGGGAAGCAGCGTCAGAGTCAGAGCGGCGGCCGTACGGGCGAGTTGCGCCGTTGCTGAAGTCGGCACCGTTGCCGGTGCGCATGACGCGGGGGCTGCTGTACTCAGCAGAGCGACCACCACCGGTGGAAGAGTAGCTACCGCTTCCGCCGCTAATAGTGCTGCTAGTGGTGCCAGGCTGGGTGCGAACGACCGGGTTGTAGAGGACGGTGCCGGTACCACGCTGCCAGTCGTCGACGAGGCACTTGCAGATCTCCCAAACGGCAGCCTTGATGCCATCCGGGGTTCCCTGCACCTCAACAATGCGCTCGGTGGACTGAGGGAGCATCTCCTTCTGAGCCACCATGCGGACACCAGAAACGTCCTGGATGTGCTTGATCTTCAGTCCCTGTCGACCAATGATGGTTCCCATCTGGTTGTGGGAAATCAAGAGCTTGATAGCTACGAAGTTGTTAGCATGAAGCTCCTTAGAAGACACGACATGCGGCTGCTTACGGTGGGTGCCATTGTTCTGGACGACGCCGCCCATGCCCATAGCAGGAGCGCCCTCGAGGAGAGCCTGCGCGACAATGGCGTAGGCCTTGGAGATGGCCTGAATTTCACCAGTGATAGTGAGAACGCGGTCGTGTACACCTTGAACAACCTTAGACACGCCGGCCTTGACACCGGTCTCGTCGCGAAGATCAGCGACGTTCTTGCCAGCCTTTCCAATGATCACACCGGCCTCCTTGGAAGAGACGATGGCGCGAAGGGTGAGCTGAGACACAGCATACTCCTCCTCCGTACGGGGAGCAGGCTCGCCATCGGGGCCGAGTCTCGGCTCGCCGTCATCAACCTTAAGGCGGTCGAGAGAATCGACAAGGTCGTTGCCGTTGGAAGGGATATCTTGAACCGCGGACATTTTGACAGCTGGTGAGATATCCGAAATTTGATGGGATGAAGGGGCGCAGTCGGTCGCGGAGGCAGCAGCGAAGTCTGAGACCAGAAATTAGTAAATGCATGATTGAATAGTGTATTTAGAAAAGCAAAATTGATGCGCTTGGCAATTGTGAATATTGTGGAAAGCGGGTTGCGTCAGAAGTTATTACAGGCGCCACAGGCCAGCAATAACACGAGCAACCATCTGGGGCATTTTGATTGGGGCAAGAAAGGGTATTGGGATGTCTGGTAGTGTGTACACCTTGAATGTAGCAGGTCGCAGACGACGGGGGAGTTGAGGCGGATTTTCCCAGAGGTGTTACCCAAGCAGAGGTACCGGGGGAGATGAGGTGGTGATGCGAGGCGGGGTGATTTGTGTGGTGCTAATAATTACCTTGGATTTTTTTTCCTGAGCTTTGGCGATCAGGAAGGAGGGGTTAAGTAGAGCGGGCAGGTGCGACCCAAAATTGGAAAGTGGGTAATTTGGAACTCTGATTCGAGCCCGTGAGACGACGGTAGATGAGTACTTGCGTACGAATTGCCCGTCTTTATGAGTCGGTAGGTTGTTAACGATGCGACGAATGCGCCGTGGTTGACGGTGGGTAGTGAGGTGGGTGGTGGATCGGGGAAGAGGTCGGGGTTTGGAGGGGTGAGATGTAGGCGAAGCCTCGGAGGGTGGAATGGAAGAGAGCGGGTTGAGGGTGATGTAAGGCGGGAGGGGGGAGAGAAGAGTTGAGGCGGGAGAGAGGATGGATTTGGAAGAGTTTGGGTGAGGTGAAGAGGTGAAGAAGAAGAGTTGGGGTGGCCGGAGAGAAGTGAGGTTGGTCGTGGAGAGAGTGAGGTGAAGGACGAGAAGAAGTGCGGGCAGAGATTTGGGGGGAGAAAAGTAGGTAGGTAATTGTAAGAGCGAGAGGGAAAGTGCGCGCGCCGCAGGTGGTTTTTTTTCCTGGTGGAAGTGTGGGAGGGGAGGCAGGTACTTACAGGTCTGCGTGGTGCAGTAAGAGAAGCTCGGTACTCTCTTAGTGTCAAAATTTGTGCTGGTTGATAGCTTTCTAGGCTGGAAGGCAGGTGCGCAGGGTTGAATTGGGGGAGCTTCTCGCTGGAGCTGCGTCGTTTGCAGGGCTTGATATGGGAGAAGAGACGCGGCAGGTACGTGATTCACCAGTGGGTCGCGACTGAGGATTCCAACGGCAGCTACCTCCTGCCCCACCTCGCAGCACGACATCACGTGTACCTTCCCGCGAGATCAGAGAAGAGAAATACTTGAGAAGGCGCTAGAGCCACCGTCGCAGCAAGTCACCTGCCCCTCCCGCACATGCTTCCCGAGCTGTACCCAGAGCGTACCTCCCCTTGGACCCCTCCACGCGACATGGAGCTTACCCAGCGTCTGGGCCCTTTTCCTCCGGGGCCCTTTGAGCAAGCAGGTCTGGAAAACAGTGACGGCGACGTTGCTGCTGCCCTGCGTCCACTCGTTCAATTATTGTCACTTCTGGGACCCCTCATATGTGACTCCCACGTCCCCTCGTCCTCTCACACTCAAGAGCTGTCTGTGACTGAGCAACAAACAAGACAGGACGAGACGAGACGACCAGCAGGTTACGCCCAAGCTTTCTCAAACTGTTTCCTCTCCATCTCCAGGCGGTGATGCTTGTACGTGGAATCACGCAAACCGTCGCCTGCCAGCAGCAACACCACCCTCACACGAAGTACATCCAACACCCATCTTCCGTGATACCCGTCTCTCGCAGGGCAGAGTGCATCCCTCCGGTCGCCCTCTCTCACACCACTTACACTCGTCGCGGGCGGGGCGCGAACTTTGGAGATGATCCCTTGGTCCCCAGGCGGCCTCTTGGGGGGACACTGGAGCTCTTCGGACTGATCCCCGCCAGGGCACATGACAGGGAAGAAGCATTCCAGGCCGTCTCGAATCGACCTCCATTTCAGGGTTGAATCTCTCAGCGCAATGCGCATTGCTAGTTTCCCCCGGGATCTCTGGTGCCTGACCCGGCCGCATCGGAATATTGCATGCACGGCAAGCATCGCGATCGACCAGAGTGTCCAATCGAACAGGTCACAACTGCCCGACTTGCGACACGCGACAGGAAAGTCTGGGTGCCGCATCGCTGTGTGCGGTATCCGTGTCTACCTACCTGACCTAGGTACGCTACAGACTCCCGTCGCACTCGCAGCTGCACATCAATGACATGACAGATGCCCCCCTCCTCCCCTCACTGCTCCTCCCGTCAGGGCACAGGCGCAAAACGCAGGGCAGTGGGCAGCCATGGAGCCCGTGGAGCGTCCCAAGCTCCAGTAGCCGTCCACCTTCCTCCCACCACAAACCCAGCA